GAAATCTATAAATTAACTTTTTACAAGACGCACAAATCGTACGGGCACGACTACGGGAGAATGGAAGGAAGGCAATCTATAATTCAGGCTTAAGTCACATAAAAATGCCGCCAAAAACTTATTGCAGTTTCTTGTTCGGGACCCTTCGGTGACTTAAAAATGATATTTATCAAAATCCTAGCTGCTCCTTTTTTCGAAATTTTTTGAAAATTCATGATTTTTTTTTAATTTTGTTTATCCTAAACTCTACTTTTGACAGAGTATACATTTGTACACCGATTTTTATAATATTGCAGTATATTGTTAAGGAGATTTTTTATACTGTGCACATCATTTAATAAAGCAAAAGCGTAACTTCATGATTTTGGCATAATACGCAAAAAAGATACATACCCACTCATTATACTGCCCTACTATGGAGAAAGGCAGTAACTACAAATGCGTTTTCTTGTGCTATGATAAGCTATGGACATTTTGTATCTTAATTCAACAAAGAAATGTAGTAAACTATCTTTTAAGTTAAATAAATCAGTTAAATACCTACTGCTTTTTATAAAAATGTAGTTTATGCTAATTTCCCACAAATTTCTTGTTTAGCAGTTAGTGCCTTTCTCCATAGTTGGGCAGTATACAACAAGCTGCCTGGGCAATTAAAATTGTAATCACTGCACTAATATATAAATGATTATCTTCCATATTTACACATAATGGGTAAAACTCAGAATATAAACAAAAACAAATGTCAACCATTTTAGGTGTCATAGCGCGGAATTTTACACGGAAATCTATAAATTAACTTTTTACAAGACGCACAAATCGTACGGGCACGACTACGGGAGAATGGAAGGAAGGCAATCTATAATTCAGGCTTAAGTCACATAAAAATGCCGCCAAAAACTTATTGCAGTTTCTTGTTCGGGACCCTTCGGTGACTTAAAAATGATATTTATCAAAATCCTAGCTGCTCCTTTTTTCGAAATTTTTTGAAAATTCATGATTTTTTTTTAATTTTGTTTATCCTAAACTCTACTTTTGACAGAGTATACATTTGTACACCGATTTTTATAATATTGCAGTATATTGTTAAGGAGATTTTTTATACTGTGCACATCATTTAATAAAGCAAAAGCGTAACTTCATGATTTTGGCATAATACGCAAAAAAGATACATACCCACTCATGTTTTTTTAGATATTTTTATTTTTATCAGGGTACAAAATGGGATTCTTATTAAGACTTTATAAGAAAAATTAATTTTGAATAAAATTAAATAAAATAACATTTTTTGGAGATAAATCTTTTTTGTGCATTATGCTTTTTACTATATAAAAAAGTGATTTTTGGCTAACCCTGTATAAATCTAATGATGTGCTCAGTATGAAAACAGTATTTTCCAAGTCTCGTTAACAATATACTTTAATATTATAAAAATTGGTGAACAAATGTGTACTCTGTAGATTAGATAAACAAAAATTAAAAAAAAAAATTAAGAATTTTCAAAAATTTCAAAAAGAGGAGCACCTAGGATTTTGGTAAATATCATTTTAAAGTTACCAAAGGGTTCCGAACAAGAAACTGCAATCAATAAAAATCGGTGTACAAATGTGTACTCTGGCAAAGGTAGACTTTGCAATAAACAAAAATTTAAAAAAAAAAGATTTTAAAAAGCAGTTATTTTGGTAAATATCGTTTTTAAATCTCCAAAGAGTGCCGATCAAAAAACAACCAGTTTTTCGTTTAAAATTGAAAACTACTAAAAACCTAAATTAAACAACATTTTAAATATTCTCTAAGCGTTATTTTATTTAGTTTTAATTAAAAATCATTTTTTTTATGAAAGGTTAATACGAATACCATTTTGTAACCTGATAAACGTAGAAATATCTAAAAAAAATGGGGATAAATCTTTTTTGCGTGTTATGCCAAAATCATGAATTTACGCTTTTGCTTTATTAAAAATAAGCCATTTTTGGCTGACCCTGTATATATCAAATGATGTGAACAGTATTAAAAAGTATTCTCTGAGTCTCCCCAATAATATACTTTAATTTTATAAAAATCGGTGTACAAATGTGTTCTCTGTCAAAGGTAGACTTTGAAATAAAGAAAAATTTAAAAAAAAATCATGAATTTTCAAAAAATTTCGAAAAAGGAGCAGCTAGGATTTTGGTAAATATCATTTTTAAGTCACCAAAGGGTCCGGAACAAGAAACTGCAATCAGTTTTTGGCGGCATTTTTATGTGACTTAAACTTCGTTCAGGCACACCGTGTGGACCGGCTGTTACGATTTTGCATGAACATCTAAATGTGAATGTGTAAAAGAATTTGGCAAAGAATGTATAAAAGCATTTGGCAACACACAAAAATCATGTTTCAACAAGGTAATTCTCCAAATTAGCCGCCATTGAAAAAATCACGGAATTAGGCTGGGAACTGCTACCGCATCCTCCCTATTCTTCAGATTTGGCCCCCTGTGACTTTTTCTAGAATTGACAAAATCTTTGTATGAAAAAAGAAAGTAATCGACGCTGTAGGTGCATTTTTTTGACCAAAAGTAGCAATAGTTAAATTCTGAAGAAATGAAGAAGACAAGACTTATGTATACACATGTATCGAGCTTAAATAATATGGTGTCGAAAAATAAAACTTAATTTAACCCAAAAGATTGCAGGACTTATCCCATAGTTATAATTTTTACTTAGTTTATTAGTTTGTTTAATCATATATTATATCACGAGAACTATGAATTTAATCGGTTAAACTAGGCTCAGTAGTTTTTAGTTTGGTTTTGGTTGGAAAATGTTGAATGCAAAATAATTTAATAAAATCACGAGACCGCGTAGCGGTCGAGGGGTTTTATTTTTAATTATTTTGCATGAAACTATTTTCCAAAAAGAAAAATCAAATAAAAAACTTACTGAGATAGTTTGACAGATTAAATTTATAGGTTGAGTCTATACGTCTAGATTATTTCTCGAATTAAAGGAAACTATTTGACAATTCATAAAATCTGACGTATGTGTCAAAATTTATAAATATTTTTTTAAAGAAAATTCCATCAATATAAGGTATGTAATAAGTAATACTTGATATTTCGTAAACTAGATAACTTATTTTTTATTGTTTTTTAAAAAATGTTTGTTAAAACTTGTAAATAACATCATAAAATCGTAAACAAAAATCCAATATGGAGGCTAAAATTTAATCGCTGTTAAATAGTTCTAGTGATTTAATCGCTTATTTAAAGGAAATTTATTCGAAAATTCAAGGCTTTTGATTGGTTCATATTATAATGAGGGAAATAATCTATATAAAATTTAAGCGACCATTTAAACCATCAAAATTAGGCGAATAGTGTTTGCCTTTTGATTTTATCAAAATAAGTTTATTACACAGTTGTAATATTTAATTTAGAACGCTTCAATAAAACCTGACATTAGGATATCCTGTTTGTATTTTTCCTAGTTAAAACTGAATTTAATGTTCTTAAATTCTTTTGACTGCTTGTACAAATATAACGAATTTATTTGTAAAAATAAATTGAACATCGTTAAATATACGCTGAAATATAATTAACTATTATTGTACACGGCTATATTTAAAATACTGCAAATTTAAGAGCTATGTGCATGATTATTTTTAGCAAACATCTGCTCTGTTTCGAGCTAGGAAATCGGTTGTCACATTTTTAAACTGTCTTCCTTTAATTTAGAGCTTAATAGAATTAAACAGGATTCGTTTTGTAGTAGATATGTCATATTTATTATTACCTGTCGTGAGATCATATGGAACATTAATTGGCGATATTGTCTGTGAGTCACGCCTCCATGCTTTTTAAGTTATAAAATTCATTATTCCATACATTATTAAATCATTGTTATACAGATATAAAACCTTTGATAAAATTACTTTGTTTTTAAAAAATAATTATTTATCGCTAGTTCAAAAGTTTCCGATAATAATCAGGTTTATATTATTAGGTATACATAACTAGTTTAAAACCTTTAATTTTTTTCATACGCCACGGTGTATTTTGTATCCCACGACCTCGCTCATGAGATTTACATAAAAAAATAAACTATAATAATTTATTTTTAAGCTATCAACATGATCCTATTTTGTTTTTCAAGATTGAAATAGTATATTCTGTAATAACTGGCGAGGCTGTTAATAGGCTTTCTCCGTTGTTTGAACCTTTAAGAATTGTGTTTTCAAATTTCGTGCCCAACTTAAGAAACACAAAAAATATTAATATAAACAATTTATATTGTTTATTATTTAGTCTGTTTTTAGTTTTTAATAATAATTTAATTTCTAAAAAAAGTTAGTAATTTGTTAATTAAAATACATCGTTTTATTTTTACTACATTGGCACCGATTAATTCACAACCTACTATTATTAATTTACTTAACCTCAAACTATTCAAACATTTTTTCATTTTTTAAATTTCCTGTAACTTGAAAACGAAAACCTGTGCCTTTGTTAAATAAATCCCCGTTTAAATGTCAAATTTTCCTGTCCATTGACAAATTTACACCCAAAGACCATTTATCTTTGCACCAATGTAACAATCAATTTGAACGTTTAATTTTTCATAGAATTTGGGAAAATTAAAAATATATTAAAATCTTAAAAATTGTTACTTTTATTTTTATCTTTACCCATTTTGTATTTAATTAAATCGGGAAAAACACAAAACCTATTGGTTTACACCATCAATTTCAAAGTTTAATTTTTCAAAGAATTTGGGAAAATTAAAAACAAATGTAAATCTTATGCAATAACAAAATAAAATTGTTACTGGTATTTTTTATCTTTACCCATTTTGTATTTAATTAAATCAGGAAAAACACAAAATCAATTAGTTAAATTTCCTGTATTACAAACCACATTTTCTTTTGAGTTTGATATGGAATTTTGATATACCTACTACTTGATTTAACAGAATATATCAATTTTTCCAAAATCACAATAGTTTTATATTTTTTCTGTTTTTAGGCCATCTTCTTCTTTAAAACACAAACAAATAATTGAAAATACCTCAACAGAACCAGGTTCCGAGGAATTTTCAGGAGGATCTTTGACAGGTTCTACGGTTAGCGGCAGTTCAGGTTTCGGTAGTTTACCTAAAAAACGACCCCAACTTTTAACCTCGGGTAAGAAATTAATCTATTCGTTTTATACACGGTGTCCAGAAAATTCGTTTATAAAGAAATCCTCTAGATTTAAAATAAACCGATTTAACCCATTTTAGACCGTATCATTTTGCAAATGTTTGAAAAATAAGTTTGGGATAAAAATCCTTTAGAATAATTTTTAGGCTAAACAAAGCAACTAAATATAGGTACTTAAAATTGGTTAAATCAAATTATTTTTAGCAAACTAACCACTAAAAAGATATTATTTCTAAAATGTTACTGAACGTGTATTAAAAAAATATTTGTGGCAAAGTTTATGCAACTTTACAGCGAAGTGTTATGTCTGGCTCAGCAACATGCAATGTTACTTAATGTTACTTTTGTAGGTTTCCTTGCAACGAAAGTCTTATTTAGAAATATTTCAGAAATATTCCATACACTACAACTTACAAATTACATGTTATTTTAAAGTTGCATAATTAAATATAAACAAGTTTAAACGGTTTGAATTCAACCACAGAACAGACACATGTACTAATTCCTAAGATTGTAACCCAGAAATATACGAGGTGTGTTCAGAAAATATCGAGAATTTTTGTTTTTTGAAACAAATATTTATTTATTCGTCTACATTAATGTTGTCGCCTTTAAAATAGTCCCCATTGGATATTATGCACATGTGCCAGCTCTTCTTCCAATACTCTAAACACTTCTAAAACTCGATCTTTGGGATAGCTTTTAGTTCTTTCAGCGATGCGCTTTTAATGTCATCTATGCTTGCAAACGACGGCGGTTCTCTTTATTTTTGGGAATAGGAAAAAGTCAGACAGAGGCATGTCTGGCGAATATGGAGGCTGGGGCATCATTACAGTATTGTTTTTGGCCAAAAATTTTCTTCAAAAATTAACAATTTTGAAACAAATTTTGCTGCCACGCGTTTCATACCCAAAACATTCGAAAAAATTTCACGGGATGAGCCAATCGATATACCAACATCATCAGCGACTTCTCTGATGGTTTATAACCATTTCTTCCACTTTTTCCATGTTTTTATCGGTTGTTAATGTACTTGTGCGTTCGGGGCGTTCGTCATCTTCAACGTCTTCACGGCCATCTTGGAAACTCTTATACCACTTGTAAACTCTTGTTTTACTTATAGCAGACTCACTATAGGCCTTTGTTAACATTTCACAGAATTTGTTTAATTTTTTAAGCAAAATTGGATACAAATTCTTTGATCCATTTCTTTTATCGAACGAAAATCGCCGAGCTCATAAAACACGTCTAACCTTAGCGGCTGCCACAGACAAAGTTAACATTGAAAACAGCTAAAGTTTTTATCATATTTCGGGGGCATGTATACCAACATAATAAAGAAAATTTTATGACAACCGGACCCTCCGAAGCCGTGAAATTTAACAATTCCCGTTATTTGCTGAACACACCTTGTATTCTATAGTAGAGTAATTATACCCCACAAAAATCTTATGTGGACTCTACATTGTGTACACAGATTATTATTGTGTACTTATACCGTCCTTGTACTGTTCTTGTCTTAGAGAAATCGTTGTTTGAAATTTGTGTGTTTCATTTGAGTAAACTTTGATATATCCTAATCGTACCTTGCCAGATAGCAGCTTCTTTTTGAATATTGATCGCCGTCTTAGTGAAACTGGTAGTTTTCGTAAAGGTAATTCGGTAGACCTCAAAATGCTAGAACACCTGAAATTGAGGAAGAGGTGCTGAAGGAAATCGACAATCATCCTAAGACGATTACAAGGAAGATCGCTTGGTCATCGAGTTATTTGGCGAATTAATATCTTAACATTTCTCATTAATATCAAAATTTGAAATTAAAAACTTTCTTTTTGCAATTGATATTCCAATGCGAATATCTTTTGATTGGTTAGAGTAATCGATAAATCCTAAAAGACATTTTTTATAGAGCGTTCAATTTCCGATAGACATAGTAAAATCTCAATTGTCGATAATTTTTTTTCAGTAAGTTACAAAATTCAGAACAGAAAAGTTATCTTTCTTAAAATTCTTCAATCTTTGACCTTGAATATCTCTTTAATAGTTAGATTGATCAAAAAAGTATAAGAGATCTTTTTTGTAGAATATTTAATTTTCTACAAATAACTCCTTTAGAGTTTTGCTGTATGATTAACGAATGATGAGATATGAATTTTTTTGTAGGGGACTAAGAAAAATATGCAAAACTGTAATGAGGCGGATCTTTCCATCAAAGTTAAGAGCTTATCGTTGCTAAGCATGTTTTGAAGGTGCCCAGAAACCGATTTTTCAGTGGCAGAAGTCCAAATAAAAATAGTCGATTTTTTTGACCCACCCTAATATACATATATATATATATATATATATATATATATATATATATATATATATATATATATATATAATTTCGTATTTTTTTTATAAAATTTGTATTTTACTTAGCAGTGCCATCAAGTTAATGAAAAAAGTTAAAAACATATTGTGTTTTATAAAGGAAAAGATTTAAGTATACGAGCGTCTACGACTGTGCTTGCTTCTTACAAAAGACAAATTAAACTTTGCAAGCTATAATCGAACATGTTTTAATAATTGTTTATATTTCAGACTTAGTTATTGGACAAACCCTGACCGAAAACAACGTTCCCGTAACAATAGCGACAGACTGTTTAGATGTTGTTAATCATGTTCCTGATAACGAAGAACCTGCGTTGGAACCAGGCCATTCCAGAAATTCATCCAACACCAGCCAGCTGTCGAAAGCTTCCGGTTACAGCAGCATACACTCGCATAGCAGACAATCCAGTTCCGGCGATTCCGGACACATCCGGTAAGTTATGTCTTTTTCAAGGTCCAGACTAAAAAAAATTAGCCCTAAAATTGCTGCTAAGCTAGTTTTAGAAGAATTAGAGAAAAGGTTTACCCAAAAAATATTTAAAACCTTTACTTTTATTCCTTCAAACATTGTTTTTTAGATTAGGGTGTCCGTTATTTACAAACTTGGTTTTTTTTCGCAGCGCCCCCTAAATTTTTAGGTAATGACTTAAAAAAAATTATCAGACTCATATAAGCCCTTAATATTCATATTAAACCTTGCCTCAAAGACGATACATTTCCCATTTAAATAACATGGGGTTTCGGCAGGTTTTACATTTAATTTTTTTCTCCTGAGCAAGTTCATAACAATAAGAGACAGGAGATTAAATTTTTTTATAAATTCACTGGTTTAAAAGTTATTTAAGGTTAAAGTTGAACTTATAGTAATTTTTTCGATTTTTAAAAATATGTGATTTTATTTTATTAATGAAAAACTAAAAAATATTGACAATTCCGATAAATTAAAAAAAATGTATTACACCGGCTGAAGGACTACGGTCAATAGCCTTTGAACTTGGTTTTAGTTCAATAAAGCATTATTATTATGTATTACACTAAACGAATCTGGTACTAGTTTTACTTAATTTAGTACGATTTTTTTTACATAATCTTTTTATTTCAGTAAAATTTTACAAAATTTTAAACGATTTTATAAAATATTATGCAATGAAAAATTTCCTTCAGCTGTAGCTAATGACGTAGAAATTCCTTAAACAATTATTTTTACGAAAAAATAAATTTTGTAGCTACGCATGCGCACTAAAGTATGATTTAGTACTTTAACCACAGAATAGAGGAAGGCAGAAGTCGCACTTCCTAGATTTCGTGTCGCAAAGTTGACATAGCGCAGCCGTGTCGCGCACTCAGTTTGAAGTTGGTCAATCTGTGGCATCTTTTATATAATAGTATATTATGTATCAAGTTTTATAAACGCCATTTTAGTTACGAGTTTTATTAGGCATAAGCGAAGCAACGGAATTAACGTCACTTTTCTCTAATTTACAATAAAGCCAATTTAACTTTGAAAAGTATAATTAATGTAGCTAAAATGACTGTATCTCATACTCAAGACAACGTATGCGTAACTACGAACGTCATTAGCTGTACTGAAGAAAACATTTCTCATTAATATTTTATAAAATAGTATACAATTTTGTAGAATTTCACAGAAATAAAAAGATTATGTAAAAAAGTAATTGTACAAAAATTGAGTAATACTAGTACCAGATTCGTTTAATGTAATACATTTTTTTTTAATTTATAGAATCTCTTGCCAGTAATTTTCACTTATCTCTTTTAAATAATTTTTTAATAATACAATAAAATCACATATTTTTAAAAATAAACAATTCAATTTCATAAAAATAATGATAATTTTGCAGTCAAAGCAAAGATTAAATATACTCTTTCCCCGTATAAGAGTATATTTAATCTTTGGTCAAAGTAAAAAAAATGTAACTTTAACTTTAACCTTAAATTACTTTTAAACCAGTAAAATTTAATAAAATTAGTAGGGAAACTTTTTTGTACAGCGTTCAATTTCCGATAAAAAATATGCCTCTTATTGTTGAATATTAACTTGCTCGGGAGAAAAAAATTAAATGTAAACGTGCCGAAACCCCATGTTATTTAAATGGGAAATGTATCGTTTTTGTGGCAAGGTTTAATATGAAAATTAAGGGCTTATATGAGTCTGATAAATTTTTTTAGGTCATAAACTAAAAATTTAGGGGGCGCTGCGAAAAAAAAATAAGTTGGTAAATAACGGACACCCTAATATATGTATAATATATATATTTGCATTGTAAATACCTCACTTAATTATCCTTTGCTAGTACTTACTTAGCGTAGAACAATTAATACAATTAGGCTTTTAAATCGCTTGATGGTGTTTTTAGAAAACGCTAAAATAGTTTATTTAGTACTTGTGCCAACCAACATACTAAGTGATTTTTGCATTAATTGTCGACTACGCAGTTTTCCAGTTTTGTTTAGTTTAATATTTTTCTCTAATAAGGCTAAAGTGCATGCATATTTACTTTTTGTTTGTATAGGGCACAACAAAGGTCCGTCCGGATTAGCAACGTATCAAATCCATCCAAGTTCACACGAACAAACACCTATCCTAAACGCATTACAATTCCCAACACTATTCCATCCGTTCAGGACGAGGTATTCTCTACGCCTCAGGGGAATATCAGTCCGCAATTTGCCCCCTCCAAAAACGGCGGCGATTTAAATTCAAGTAATTACCATACCCCCAAGGCCCTCCACTCGCAGTTAAGCAATCTAAGCTCTTCGAGCAACGAGCACTACGCCACGCCGGAAAGTTCCTTTAATAACAAATCGGAATATTTCTCGCCGAATTTTAACGAACTGACAAAATCTGCGTCCGCAAACGTAGTGATTAGACAAACCATGCAGCCGCCCGTCAATCATTTCCTGAGGAAATCTGACAGCGCGGCTATAGTGGGCGAGAAAATAAAGAAAAATTCGAAGAAAACTTTCGAAACGCAAAAAGACGTGCTGCGATCGAAAAGCGAGTTCGAAATTCCGCGTATACACGAGCGACAATCGACCGACAAACCGTTTTCCTTCTACTTTAAATCTGACAGTTTGTTTTCCTTTCTCACTCCCAGACCCAAGCGGAGAGAGCTCTGCAACCAGTCCACTCCCACGAACGAGGGAACCTCGTTTAAAGTTCCAGGATCTCCCATTCCTAAACACAACCTAAACAGCTTGCCCGAAACACGAACCACCTCGTTAAACTCGCTACGTTCCGGACAATCTGGGACCGATGTTCAACCACTTGTCGTGCCACCTGTTCCCAGGTAGGAATCAACCGAGCTATTTAGTTTTATTTGGCTTTTTTGATTTTTATTAACAAAAAGCGCTCGTCACCTATAAACAGCATAAAAATTCTAATTTTTGGTTAATCAGTTTTGTGCCTAATTTTTGAAAAACTAATACATTTTCCTTTGAAAGGATGACCACCTAATCCAAGGTGGCTTAATTATTTTAAGTGAAAATGAGCCTCGTCGGTCATTATGAGAATCTCGTTTTCTTCTTCCACTGGCTAAACTGAAATCCTTATTGTTGGTCTGATTGGAGCAGCCATGAAAAAACATGATTTTAAAGGGTTGGAATTCCAATTCTATAGGCGCTCAACCAGACGTTGTTCTGAAGCTCTTGGGGTGTCACGTCGGAGTCTACTTCTCAACAAAGAATGAAATTTCACCCCTATAGAATCATGGTGATTCAGAATCTGCTCCCAACTGACAAAGGCTTTAGTTGCGCATGTTGGAGATATCTGAAGAAGAAAATGATATTTTCATGATAACTGACCAGGCTTATTTTTACTTGGAATAATTAAGGTGTCCCACTTTATTTAATATATTTAATTATTTTTTAACCGTTACATCTTCAAAATTGACAATTTAAGAGCCATTTCAAATACGTCAGATCCAAATACGCCGCTCTGTACAATTGCAGAAGAGTGAATACCTTGTTTGATAAACATTGATTTTACTTAAAATAACTATATTTTTTATTTTAACCAATTTTATAAATTTACCCCAGCTTAAAAACTAAAATTGTTTAAAGCCCAATAATAGTTATTTATGTCATTAGCTAAGCTCAAAGTTTGAAGGCCGACGCTTAGCGAAGACACTAACAATACACTTTTCAGCCAAATGGCATACACAATTTTTTATTCAAGATACAATTTTATTTTGTTTAAAACGTTACATGAAACGAACAATTATAATAATAATAATTATTGAAAGTAGAAAGTGAGGTGAGGTAGACAAACAAAATTTTTTCTAAAACTGTATCCCACAGTTTATAAAAATGTACCTATGTGCTTTTACATAGAATTTCACAGTTGTTTCAATTTAGATAAATTTAGATCTTCACAGAAAAATTTTACAACTGTCATTTTGAAAAACGGTAAACCAGGTTCACAGGTTAGGTAATCTATTTTTCTGTAGGTGTCGGTCCATACAAATATTTGAATTAATTAGTAATAAATTGTTTTTAATGCCTAATAATAGCTGTCGTAGAAAAAGTATGGTATGCAACTTTTTTAGACAATCATTTTATTAAACACTCTCTCCCAAGGTCGCTCGTGCCTAATTAAAATTCGAGAATAAAATCCGTTTAAGAATTTTTTGTTCATAATTTTAGTAATTTATAAACTGGGATAGTTCTTGAAAAAATGTTGTTTGATACTTGATTGCAAAATTCTTTTGCATGATTTTTACTAACTATTTACAGCCTAGGCAATAATCAATAATCAGTAATTATTACTTCAGTAGTAAGTTTTGGCAATAATAAAGTTTAAATTGAAGATGTTGTTAAGAGAAGTTAAATATAAATATTAACATGTTTTAAATTTAGATTTAAGATTATATCAAAATAAAGTTAAATTAATTATAGGATAATCTGAGACTAAATGTATTCCAACAAATTAGAATTGCTAAATTTTAGTTACAACACCTAAAATTTCTTGATGCCACCCATCACGAAATCCATTTACCTAATTACCAATTAATTATTTCCAAAAATTAGATGTTTATTATTAGACAAAAAACGTTTATAGGTGATTTTATCGTCTCACTATTAATTCTAATTTATAACGTAGTTATCTTTCTTTAACAAGATTTTCAGACCTGGCATTGGGCTTCATTTTATATAGTACGTATAATTCTGTTTTATGTGTTTGTGTATTGTGTTATCATTTCATTACCCCTAATACTACTACTAACTTGTAAACAGTAAATCTTATTGTATATTAAAACAAACAAGTTTCTTAAAATAAGTGCATACCTACATAAGCTGTTTGTAATTATTAGAGACTTGGTTTTAAGATATAAGATGGTTTAAAAATCACGAATGTCATACTCAAAGTGTCAGTACTTCACTTAATTCTGACGTTTCCATAGAATATGAAAATATAAATGTATGCCTTTGTATACTACATAAATAAAATATTTACCTAAATAGATAGGTATAATAAACCCTTATAATTAAACTGAAAAATTCGCATCGTAAATATTTACCAAGATAATTCTGTTAAAAAATACTAGACCCGTCCCAAATTAGTGGCCCGGCCACGAGAAAAGTTATATTTTCCAAACAAAACAATATAGAATCTAATTATAATATTGTGTTTTTCACTCTTACCTTTAAAACGCACATTCGTACATGTTTTAGTTTTGCCGGCAGTAAACTAGATTTAACTTAATTTTGGGTGGAGACTCCACGCCTCCCCCAATAAAACATTTTCTTTACTTTTACTGTGAAAAACTGCTTTTACATCGAATTAAACGGTCCATTTTCAAAGGATACATTTCAAATTACACATAAAAATTTGACATTTGAGATTCCCAAGTTGGTTACTCTATTGTTTTATAGATGTCGCTCTATATTTGATGTAGAAAAAGTATAATATGCAAGTCGGTTATAAACTTGTCTAAACACTCATTTAATTAAATTCGTTTCTAAAATGGCGTAAACGTAATATACTATTATTACTTACAGTCAGTTTCTTCAACAAAACAAAATATTTTTGTGGGTGCTACGAACATACCATAATTTATACGAACTTACATAATATGTATTATAATATATACAGGGTGATTCTTAACATATACCCACAAACTTGGGAAATTATAGCTGACAACCCATAATGAATAATAATAAAACAAAAATGTTTCAAAATATTTTAAGTTAGGTACTGTAAAAACTAACTCGAATACGACCACAACTGTACTGCTGGAAATACAAAACATTTGTAATTATTGTTGAAATATAGGTCAGACATTGCTGTTGAGAAAACCTACAGCAAAGTTTTGTTGATTATAATAATAATGTTGCTATGTCATTGTGTGTTTATTAGTAACATATGACAAAAAATTGTCGAACCAACATAAAAAACACCACACAGTGTTTATTAATTTACAATACCTTAACAATAAATAAATATTGACACTCTACTCTATTGCCTGAAGATGGTATTTTAAAAACCGAAACTAGTTGCAAATAAAAATTATTAACCAAGCAAGGATATACGAGGTGTGTTCAGAAAATAACGGGAATTGTTAAATATCGCGGCTTAGGAGGGTCCGGTTGTCATAAAATTTTATTTATTTTGTTGGTATACATGCCCCCGAAGTATGATAAAAACTTTAGCTGTTTTCATTGTTTACTTTGTCTGTGGCAGCCGCTAAGGTTAGACATGTTTTATGAGCTCGGCGATTTTCGTTCGTTAAAAGAAATGGTCTTTGATCCATTTGTATCCAATTTTGCTTAAAAAATTAAATAAATTCTGTGAAATGTTAACAAAGGCCTATAGTGAGTCTGCTATAAGTAAAACAAGAGTTTACAAGTGGTATAAGAGTTTCCAAGATGGGCGTGAAGACGTTGAAGATGACGAACGCCCCGAACGCACAAGCACATTAACAAACGATAAAAACATGGAAAAAGTGGAAGAAATGGTTATAAACCATCAGAGAAGTCGCTGATGATGTTGGTATATCGATTGGCTCATCCCATGAAATTGTTTCAAATGTTTTGGGTATGAAACGCGTGGCAGCAAAATTTTGAACAAAATTTTTGGCCAAAAACAATTCTGTAATGATACCCCAGCCTCCATATTCGCCAGACATGCCTCTGTCTAACTTTTTCCTATTCCCAAAAATAAAGAGAACCTTAAAGGGCCGTCGTTTTGCAAGCATAGATGACATTAAAAGCGCATCGCTGAAAGTACTAAAGGCTATCTCAAAGATCGAGTTTTAGAAGTGCTTCGAGTATTGGAAGAAGAGCTGGCACATGTGCATAATATCCAATGGGGACTATTTTGAAGGCGACAACATTAATGTAGACGAATAAATAAATATTTGTTTCAAAAAACGAAAATTCCCGATATTTACTGAACACACCTCGTATATATATTTATTTAAATTCAAAAAAATTCAACTTTACTCTCACTCCTATGCAACAGGCTTTTTTGAATAAAGATTATTATTATTAACAAATCGGAATTTACCGATAAATTTAAAGCCATAGTGATATAACAGTGGATAATTTTTTGTTAACACTTATTTTAAATTATTTCAAAAACTTAAAATGTTTTACCGTGTTTTACTAATTTTTTTTCATTATTATTCATTATTGGTCCTTAACTATAATTTCATAGGTTTCTTGCGTATAGGTTAAGAATCACTCTGTATATAATTATTATATATGATAATATACATTATATAATTATTATAAAAAGCAGATTTAGACATAAAACAATTAAGTACCATAGTAACAAATTAACTTAACAGTTAAATCTGAAATTTGTAATTCAAAAATTTATTATAATAAAAAAAATTAAATGAAGTTAAGGAGGTCGGCAGTACATTGCAGGTACAAATTTGCAGAAACAAAATTTATTTTGTCATTTTATTACATTTGATTTAAAGAACAGCCAAATTTCCAACTGATTTTATAATTGTTTATTATTTTAATGCAAAAGGCACTACATATATATTTAATACAAGAACGTGAATTACAAAATGTAAAAATAGGATTTAAACGCAAAAAATGCAAGTTGTTGATAGCTGGTTTCTATGTTAACGCTTTTTGCTTTTGGCAGTGGCAGTGACAGTTCTATATGCAGTGTTCTTTAAAATCAAAAAATGAGTTGGGAAAACTAATTAAGTCCATTAAAAATACTATTAAAAAAGATAAGGGATCAAAAAATAAAGCAACAGAAAATATAGAGTATGTTAAATGCAGTGAAAGTCTAAAGAGAAGAGTAGAAAACAAAGATGATAAAACCACA